TCCCCTAGGATTACCCTGGAGCCCAGAGTGCCTCCACAAACCCCGGATACCCGGGGCTCCCTGCGCCTCCCCTGGGCAGGCAGGCCCGTAGGCCTCCCGATGACCTCTCCTTGTGCCTCCCCCGCCCCCCAGCTCCTTCCGTTTTTTCCCAGCTGCCCCCCTGTGCCTACCTGTCAGCAAAAAAAAAAGCTGGTCTACGGATTATCTCCGGACTCACTCCCCGGTGTCTGGGTGCTCCCTCCATTCCCTTGGTACCCACCTGTGCCTGCCCACCTCCCGAACTCCCTCCCTCCCCGTGCCCTGCTGTGTCTCCCTCTTCAGCAGACAGACTTGCAGACACTTACCACCCTCAGTGCCCTGGGGTTACCTCTGGGCTACTCCTGTTTTCCCTGGTATCTCGCACTGAGGTCTCTCTCCCAGTCTCGCCACCACTCCCCAGTGTCCTCCTGTGTTATCTCCCCCCTTCCAAAGTCACGTCTGCACCTTTCAGCCGATCCCCTCACTCCCTGGGTGCTGCAGGGCTTTCCCCAGCCCCATCTCTGCAAGCAGGTCCCTCATTACCCTGAATTCTTACCCCTGTCTCTCTGTGGTCCCAGGGCATGTGTGTACTACCTCCCCACCAGGGTGAAGATGAAGTAGAGCTCTGACCATGGACCATGATGCCCCCACGATAAGGCCCCGCCGTATCCAGAACCAGAATGTCATCCACCGCCTGGAGCGCCGCCGGATCAGCTCAGGCAAAGCTGGCACGCACTGGCACCAAGTCCGTGTCTTCCACCAGAACGTCTTCCCCAACTTCACTGTGGTCAACGTGGAAAAGCCGCCCTGCTTCTTGCGCAAGTTCTCCCCCGATGGCCGCTACTTCATTGCCTTCTCCTCGGACCAGACCTCTCTGGAGATCTATGAGTATCAAGGCTGCCAGGCGGCAGAAGACCTCCTGCAAGGCTATGAGGGAGAGATCCTGGCCAACGGCAATGACCAAAGGTCTGTCAACATCCGGGGGCGGCTCTTTGAACGCTTCTTTGTCCTGCTCCATATCACCAATGTGGCCTCCAACGGGGAGCACTTGAACCGTGAGTGCAGCTTGTTCACTGATGACTGTCGGTATGTGATCGTCGGGTCTGCCGCGTACCTGCCTGAGGAGCCTCACCCTCCCTTCTTTGAGGTTTACCGCAACAGCGAGTCGGTGACCCCTAATCCCCGGTCCCCCTTGGAGGATTATTCCTTGCATATCATAGACCTCCACACAGGCAGACTCTGTGACACGCGAACTTTCAAATGTGACAAAGTCATCCTGTCTCACAACCAGGGGCTGTACCTCTATAAGAACATCTTGGCGATTCTCTCTGTGCAGCAACAGACTATCCATGTCTTTCAAGTAACACCTGAGGGTACATTCATCGACGTACGGACTATCGGCCGCTTCTGCTATGAGGATGATCTCCTGACGCTGTCTGCAGTGTATCCTGAGGTGCAGCGGGACACTCAGACGGGTATGGCCAACCCTTACAAAGAGCCCTTCATAAACTCGTTGAAGCACAGGCTGCTGGTGTACCTGTGGAGAAGGGCTGAGCAGGATGGAAGTGCTATAGCAAAAAGAAGGTTCTTCCAGTACTTTGATCAGTTGAGGCAGCTCCGCATGTGGAAGATGCAGCTTTTGGATGAGAACCATCTATTTATCAAATACACTAGTGAAGATGTGGTCACGCTGCGGGTGACGGATCCTTCCCAGGTACTGCCTGCCTCCTCAGGCTGCTTTTTGCTTTGGGGCAAGTGCTCAAGCAGGCACAATGCTGTGAGCTGTGTTTCTTAGCTAAGCCTGTGAACGTTGTTTAGGATCCCTGGTACTTCATTCTTGTGTGAACACTGGATGCCTCTGATACTGAATAACTTTTCTATCTTTTGCTGTCATAATTTCATCGCTTCCTTCTCGACTAAAAATGAGAGAGAAAAGATCTGACGTGGTTATTGAGTCCCCTTTCACCAGGGATTGTTCCTCATGCTCATAGATGCTGTACAACCCTTTTCCCCTCACAAATCCCCAGATGATTTTTTTAGTTGATGTTTCATATAGTACCCTTACATTGTAGAGGTAGTCTCTCCCATTTCTCATGTATCTTCAAGCATGTAATAGTCTTAATTTTTCCCCAGTAGAATTACCTTTTCTGTTCTGCCTACATACTTACCTTTCAAGCTTCAGTGAGAGATAGTATTTATGATCTGTCCAAATTGGAGTAGCAGCTCTTAGATCTAGCTAATGTGCCAATTGCTTCTCCTTTCAGTTTAGTACTAAAGAAGTCAAATTAAAGCAAATGTAGCTCAGTCAGTGCTGAGTTACTCCAGACATTTCACCGTCCTGCAGGTAAATCATCTCTTTTCACTGTTGTTAGAGTGGTGGTCAGGTTTTGAGCTCTGTGAGACTGAGAAGGATGTATTTTTAACCTGTTCGATTCCTTTAATCCACTTGGTTTTTATTCTTTTGAAAGTATTTAGCAAGAATTTGTAATAAGTCCCCAGTGCTGCATGTAGTTCTGATTGTTCCCTAGATGTTTGTTTTTCTTTCATACCCTTCTTCCCTATCTTTGCCACATCCAGGACTAAGTTTCTAGAATAAATAGCGTCTCTTTGATAGAACTCTTTGCGTGATGCCTTAGTCTAATTCTTGCTGGAAGATGACTCTTGTTTTTTTTTATTTGTCTCTTATGTGGTGTGTGTTTGGGGGAGTTGCTTTGGGAGGGAATAGGTAAGGCCTATTCTAATCAATTTTAGCCATTTGTGTAAAACTGAGCAGCTGTCTTAAAAATATTAAAGCTTTGTGGAAGTGGCCTGCAGCATTCTGCTCATTGCTGGTATCTGGAATGGTGCTCTTGACCCTGATGTAAATGTTTCTGGTAGCCTCCACTCTCTGCTGTGGTTACCAAAGCTTTTGTGCCTAGTTTGCTGCAGCATATTCTTGACTCCCTTAGGGTTACTTTAAGATGCAGGTTGTGGTTTGTTTGCAGTGTTCCTTAGGCAGTGTGTTTTATGCTGGAGGAAAAGCATTTCATTTCTCAGTTCTTTCAGGAGATAATTCCAGATGTGGAGCAGTCTCAGCAGGCCTGCCTGAATGTAGGCTTTGTGCTAGGACTTCCTGAAGAAAACTTGGCTCACAAAATGCCTAAAGCTACAATTTTTCTTTTGTCTAACAGAGAGGAACATGAGATTTCATCCAGTTTCAGGCTCCTCTCTTCTCTCTGGCTTCTCTGCCAAGAAGGCTGAGGAAGTTGCTGTCCATGCTTGCAGGTTCCTCATATATTGTCAGGGTCTGCACTGAAGCCTTCAAGATTTTTAATCACATGCTGTGTATATGTAGCTTGGGAGTTGTTGTTCTAGGCTTGTGCTGATAGACTTGACAGCTTGACCTTCCACCTGGTCTAGAGGAAGGTGTCCCTGCCCATGGCAGGGTGGTTGGAACTAGATGATCTTTAAGGCCCCTTCCAACCCAAACCATTCTATGATTCTTTGATTCCTGTGATACTCGACTTCTGCCACCCATGCTGTGACAATCTTTTGCCTGTGTTACAGGTGCTGCTAAAAAGCAGTGAGGGTAGTTTCTCTGGTCAGGGGCATCCTGTAGAGGTGTCTGTGTGTTAACCTGGCAAAGGAGCTTTTTTATTTAAGGTTGGAGGATACTCCCTGCAATCTTCAATGATGTAAATAATTTTTCTTTCTGCTGCCTCCTCTTATTTTCTCTCTGCTCCAGCTCTGTGTTTCAGAAGGGCTTCCCTTTCCTTAGGCAGTAGTCTAGTGAGTAACCTCATCTAGTGCTCTTCATTTTGACATGTGGGGGCTGGATTGTATTATCGCAGTTTATTTTGGGGCTGTAAAACAAACAAACCTTGTGATATTTGCAGGTGGGTGGGGTGGGCAGAGAGCCTGCCATCAGCCCTGAGCATTGTTGGAGAGCGGGAGGTGAAGCATTTAGAAATTGCCTTTATTGACAGAAGATTTAACCAGATATGTGCATATACCACGGGAATTACTTACCTTTGAAGTAGGGTCAGGTTCTTATTTCAGGGTGCCGGCATGTTAGCTCTCCTGTCTCTAATGAAAGCTACCTTTGATGACCAAGGATTAAACCTGCCCTTTCCCAGTGTGATGGGAACGTTGTTTCCCTTTGATGTAGCTGTGCTGACACAATGTCACCTTTTTCCCCGATTTCTTGCTCATCAATGCTGTGAAACACTGCCATTGCCAGTCCACAGCGCAGTACCTTCTTGCACAAGAATGTCATTAATTTCTTTCAGGTTTTAATTTCTCTGCTGGCAGGGTACTTGGAGGGCACTACTTTTTGTGGGCAGTGGTGTAGTGCACAGTACACTAAAAAGGCCCATCTCTGTGTGATGGAAATATTAAGAAGGGGAAGGAAATAATGTCTCTATGGAAAGGGAAAAATAATTGTAGCCAGCTAGCACTGGATTTAAAATAATTTTGTCAGCAAAAAATTAAATTTGGCACTTTAGAAAGTGTTTTGGATTTGGTGGAGGGCAGAGAGAAAGAGAAAACAGAAATATTGACATCCAGTTTGAGTGGAAAAATTGGAGACCCATTAAGTTTTCTTCATAAATTAATCACAGGTAAGAGGTGGATAATTTGGTACCTGTTGAGGCATTTGAATAGCAGACTGGATTAGTGTGAGGATGTGGGATTCTCCTGTGCTTCAGAGAAATTTGGATAGGGTCTGTGGTGTCATGTGGGGAGAAGGAGGGGACAGCTTCCCCACCTGTGCTCTCCTGGGTAACCGCTGCCTTTTCCTGTCTCCCCAGCCTTCGTTCTTCGTTGTGTACAACATGGTGACCACAGAGGTTATTGCTGTATTCGAGAATACGTCTGATGAGTTGCTGGAGCTGTTTGAGAACTTCTGTGACCTCTTCAGGAACGCCACCCTGCACAGTGAGGCGGTCCAGTTCCCCTGCTCAGCTTCCAGCAACAACTTTGCCAGGCAGATCCAGCGCCGGTGAGCCTTTCGGAGCATGCTTTATACCGTATAGACACATGCTCGTCCCCGTCAGCTGAAGGCTAGTATCAAATAATGACGGCAACCTTGAGAAAACCAGTTTCTTTAGTTGCTGAGTAATGCAAGGGTCTGGCTTGTACATGCTTCATCTTGCAGCTTCATGCATCTAATTTTATATTCCACAGCATCTGTCTTACTACAGGAGGGAACAAAGCAGTGGCAATCCAGTGCTTAGAGGAAAGAAAAGGAATTTTGAGGGAAAGATGTTTCCTGCTCTCCTTGAGCAGTAACTCTTCTGGAGGTTATTAAAGTGTTACTGCCCAGTAGCTTAGGTCCCTGAAGATAAGACCTGTCAAGATGCTAGCATTATCTAATTGGACATATTTTGCCAAGTGGTGTTCTCTGAATTTAGTGTGTATCAAACTGTGTTCTGTAGCATTTTTTCCAACATCAGTCACAAGCTTGTGGTTCTCATCAGACTGTGCTAGGAGAAAGGAAACTCATCTGCCTAGACCTATTGTGAAAGCTGAGCAAATAACAAAATAACCTGGGTTTCTAGAATGTGTTTTAACAGTCAAATGTGGTTTTAATGAGGCTTAATGAGGCAGAGTGTGTTACTTCTCTTGGAATATATTTTTATGTGACTCAGGGTGTTTTGTTCTTCTGGTGACTTGTTTCACATCATCCAAAGTACTTGGCAATCACCTATGGGCATGAAGCTTCTGTTGATTTTAGGTTGATGTCACATATGTAAGAGGAAGTTGACTGTGTCTGTAACTTCCTAGAGCTGCCTATCAGGAAATGCATAGTGCTTAGTAGGGGAGAGAATGAGAGAGTGCACTGCAGACACCCGAAGAACAACTCCTACCTTCTGTTAAAGTAGAGAGGAGAATCTTTTTATCCCCTTGGCTACAAGGGCCTGTAACAGAAGTGTTTAACTTCCATAGCAAAGTATAATAGAGCATAATCCACAGTGAGCTGGCTTTTGGCTGAGTGTTCCTGGTCAGATGGAAATGTTTTACCCTCCTTGATGTATGACATCTATACAGCTGATCTGACTGTTCTTGCACATGGAAAGCTCAAATTTTACTTGGAAAGAGAAATCCAGCCTGTGTTAATCCCTCCACCAGGACGAACATTCAGCTCACTGTAGTTTCTGAAGAGCTTTAGGCTTCTCGTCAAGGTTCTTCCTTGTCTAAGGTTTCTCCTTTTACGCATTTAGAACATAGTGGTTAGGGAGAGGGGGATTCTCAGGTCAACATTAAGGGCTCAACCGCTACTGTGAAATCCTCTGGCTTTTGCTTATGCTGTTTCCAGGCTTCATGGTAAAACTTGGATTGATTGATAAGTTGCTAATCCATCTCTCCCGGTTTCTGATCCTGTTCATTTCCTGCACTGCAGAGCAGCTGGGGCCAGACCTTATGGGTAGGCACAGTCTTGTCCGTCTGTCAATTTGGACTTTCAGAGCAGAAACAGTAATGATGAGGGAGGATAAAAAGGTCACCAGAACTGGCTGATGCTTGAATCACTGTGATACATCTTTGGAAATGAGCTGTTTTACTTCTTACACTGCTGCTGTTTTTCTTTCCCTATAGTTTATTTAAGATGTGCTGTTCACCTGTGGCCTTGTGAATAAAACCTGTTTCTTGGTTTACTACAGCTTCAAAGACACTATCGTGAATGCCAAGTATGGAGGGCACACGGAGGCTGTGCGGAGACTGCTGGGCCAGCTCCCGATCAGCGCCCAGTCGTACAGTGGCAGCCCTTACCTCGACCTCTCCCTTTTCAGCTATGATGACAAGTGGGTGTCAGTCATGGAGCGGCCCAAGACCTGCGGTGATCACCCTATAAGGTATGGAACAGGCCAAGAAGCTGGATGTGAGGAAAGCAGTGCAAGAGTAACTCTAAATCACCTCTGCCATGTGGCATCAAGTGTGCAAAAAAGGGAGTAGATTGAGGCCTTTCTCTTCTGACATCCTTTCACCAGAGGGTTTATTTCAGCAGTCTCACAAAGTTTGGCCTCTCTCCTTGTGATAACTGTTTTATCTTTTAAGTGTGGGAGGGCTCTTCAGATCTTCTTGCTGAGCTGCCCTGGTGAAGGTTTTGGGTGGTGAAGCCTGAGCCTTTTCTGTATGAATGCTCTTGTTCATCCTCTTCTTCTTGCAGTCCTGCTGTTGTGTTTGGGCTGCTGAGCGATATGCTTCTGGATGCCTGCTTTCCTGTCCTGGAAGGATCCCTTTTGAGCATGTGGGTTTAGCTGGCAAGGATGATCTGGTTTGTCCTGTGAATAAAATAGCAGCTGGGTTAGGTGTAATTCAGAATGCTTGTGGTATTGATTCAGCTATTTTCAGACTTTTTGTTTACAGTTCTCATCCTGGGAGCTGTACTCCTCTTCATACCACACTTCTTTCTGTGATCGGTAGGAAATTTGTTTCTGTAGTAGGAGTTTTAGCCAGGTGTAAGGGCCATTCTGAGTCATCGATGCTGGCAGAAGGAATAAGTCCGAGCTTGGGAATAAGGAGATTTCTAATGCTTTTTGCAGAAACACCAGGACTGTTTATTTCTTTTTGTTGACTGCAGCCATGGCTGCAAGTAGTGGTGGTTAAAAATCCAACGTCTCCGGCCTCAAAGGCTCAAAGAGGCTGAGTTCTCCAGGCAGAATAGTCTTTCCACTTACAGTACTGCAAAAGCAAACCTGTGCTCTGAAAACAGAGAGCCCTCAATGCCTTAGTGCTTTGTTTAGTGACTGCACACATGTTGAGGGATCAGGCAGCCTAGGGAGACCATTCTGGCTGGTTTCCCAACTTTATTTTCATCAATGCATTTTCAAAAAGTGGTTTTATGTCTCCCCCAGCCCTGACACAGGTGGCGGGGAACCTCTGATTATTCCTGTGCTCTCAATTCCCAAATTACGTGTATTTAATTGATTTTTCTGCCTGTATGATTTGGTTTGATCTCTAGCTCCCATGTTATCTGCAGAGAAAAGCCTGCCCTTTCCCCCTTGTCATGCTTGACGTTGGGAAAACTTGCAGGGCGGCAGTTGTCTGCCAGAGCCAACCTGCGTATGGCTCCTGCAGACAAAAGGGAGCAAAACCGCAGTCATTTGCTGCGGTTACGTCTTTGTAGTAAACAAAGCAAAGTGCCACCTTCTCTCCCTCCCCTGAGCAAACCGGCATTTCAGAGCCAGAGCTTTTAAAGCTCAAAGCTGTGCAGAGTCAATTAGGACTTGAATAGGGCCTCGGAGCAGTGGGGCTCCTGGTTTTTGGAAAGTAAGCAGAAGATGAGGCGCTAACCTTAACAATTCAGTAGCTGAAATAGTGCTGCTGTGTTTCTCACATGCAAAACAAAGGGATTAATAAAATAATGCTGCTGCCTGTTGTGGTTAGAGGCCTTGGAAATGAGAGGCCACAGGATTTGTAATGTAAGTCCTATAATTGGCTGGAATGCAAAACCCTTCAGCAGCTGAGGGTGTTACAATCTGTGTACAGTTTCCTGGCACCATGTGAGAGAATAGGAAAGCCTTCGTACCTTTTACACATTGCTTTCAGCGCCTCTGTGCACTGTGTCCTTTTAACCCTTAGTGCCTTTCTGCGTCCCAGAAGGTTCAATTTGCAACTCTGGCTTCTTGAGACACCAGTGGTTGTTTGCTCTCAAACAGGAAGGGCTTTAGGTTCCTTATCACTGCTGACTTCCAGTATCTTTTCAGGAGGCTTAAAGATGGGTGGAATGATGGCACTTGTGAGGAGGAGGCTCTACACGGCCTTACCTATAGTAGGGGGTCTCTAAAATCCATCTAGATGGCTAATAAGGAGCCATTTAACCAAAAAATTGGTCTGCAGATGAATCTTCCATTTTCATACACTTTGAAAAGGCTGGTCTTGCTGTTTCTGTTGACATACAATTTTATATTGCAGTGCCTAATTTATCCCCAGAGTGAGAGCCCATGGAAATGGCCTCTGATTGCAGAGCACTTTTAAAAATAGATTTAAAAATACCAAACTGAGCACATCTTTGAGATTACAGGGAGCTTCATCTTGAGTAGTAAATTATTGTGAATTGGGGAGAGAGAGGAGCAGATGGGGGACTGTGCTTTATTTAAAGAATGACCCTCTGCATACCCAGCCTTGTGTAGGAGGGAAGGGGCTTTTTGAAAAGGCAAATACCAAGATTGTGACTCTCTTGCTGGGTTCTTGTGTGCAATTTTCAGGCAGAGCTGGCTGGCACTTTGATTCAGAGGAAGGGAGAGGAGAGTGGCCCTCCAGGAAGAACATGAGGTTCTCAATAGGCTGTGTTGTTAAAATGTGGAGTATGTCTGCTCCTGAGACAGCATCGCCTGTATCTGTCATCACCCATTCTTCCCGGCTGAGAGCCGAATGCATTGTATTGCTGGCGGGGGGGAAATGTGCTCTGAGATTAAAAGCATTCTCTGAGTTAAAACCAGAGGAAAATGCAAAATACCCACATGTATTAAGTGATGGTGGAAAAGGAAACAGCTGGGAGGCAAAATGGCAATTCTGTGCCCGAAACTGAAAGAGCAGAGAAAATGGTCTAACGAACTGAGACAACTTCAGGGTGAGGACTTGAGTTAGAGCCCAGCTGCTTTGTGAAGGTGCCACATCCAGAAACCTCCATCACCACATCCCAGAAACCTCCAGCAAAGTCTTGGGGAGGTGTGAGGTCATTGCAGAGTCCCCTGTTCCCACAGCAGCACTGGACAGTGGTGTTACCTGGGCTTATGTTGGTTACACAGGGTATGCAGAGAAGGTTCAAGAAGCAAAGAGCTTCCTAGACTCGCCTGTCCCTTCAGTGCTGTTTGCCTCACCCCCTTGGCAATGTTTGCTTTGTGCTGAAGCTGTGTTCCAGAGCTCACCTCTTTGGAGATGCAAATGAGCTTGACCCAACAGGCAGATTTGTGGGTGACAGCAGAAGGACGCAAGGTTTTCCTTGACCTCTGCCCTTACTGTGATTGTTGAATGCAATCCATCACGTACTTCCTGCCTAGCCTATCTTGTTAATGCTTTTTTGACAGAAATCTAAAAGGAACTGCAAAGTCCTGCTTGAGCTGTAAAGTACAGCCTGGCACCCTTGAGCAGAATTGGATCCAGCTGTTTACCTTCCTCAACTGAATGGGGATGTAGGGAGGCACAAAGGCAGCAGCATGAAACCTACCTGGCAGAACCAGGAGAGGAAAGGGGTGGCCTTACACTCAGTGTGAAGGCCATTGCTAAGGGAATTGAGCTCAGTTCTGTACGGTATATCTGCCTTAGGGATCATGGGGAGCAGCTTGCATTGTGTGTGCCCAAAGAAGGGCAACGAAGCTGGTGAAGCGTCTAGAGCACAAATCTTATGAGGGGCAATTTAGGGAACTGGGGTCGTTCAGTCTGGAGAAAAAGAGGCTTGGGGGAGACCTTATTACTCTCTACAACTACCTGAAAGGATGTTGTAGCGATGTGGGTGTTGGTCTCTTCTCCCAAGTAACAAGTGATAGGATAAGAGGAAATGGCCTCAAGTTGTGCCAGGGAGGTTTAGATTGGATATTAGGAAAAATTTCTTCACTGAAAGGATTGTCAAGCATTGGAACAGGCTGCCCAGGGAAGTGGTGGAGTCACCATTCCTGGAGGTATTTAAAAAACGTGTAGATGTAGCGCTTAGGGACACGGTTTAGTAGTGGACTTGGCAGTGCTAGGTTAATGGTTGGACTCGATGATCTTAAAGGTCTTTCCAAACTAAACGATTCTATGATTCTGTGAAGAGAGGATGGAGAGCCAGCACAGGTGGGGTCTGGACCAAACTTACTCATTCTTGTGAAGTCAGCTATGTCCACCAAAATGACAGGCAGAGTTCTCTCGCTGATGATGCTACAATGAAGTCAAGCTTTTCTATACATGGGAAAACTAGCTGCCCCAGGAGGGGCTTTCCTTTATAGCTGAGAGCCAGACACCCAGCTGAGGACCTCCTGCACCTGAGGGAGTACCAGAGACTGAACAAGGCACTTGTCTCTGTTTGTGAAGAGCCCAGATGGCAAAGTCAATAATCGGGAACAGCCATAATTGACTTTCTCTTCCTTTCAGATTTTACGCTCGTGATTCTGGCCTCCTGAAGTTTGAGATCCAGGCGGGACTCCTGGGGCGACCCATCAATCACACAGTGCGACGCCTGGTTGCGTTCACCTTCCACCCCTTCGAGCCCTTTGCCATCTCAGTGCAGCGCACTAACGCAGAGTACGTGGTTAACTTCCACATGAGGCACAGCTGCACGTAGTACGACAGGTAGCCGGGGCGGCTGCTCTCCTTGGGTCTGGGCCTCTTGCCACAGACGCACCAAAGCCAGACACTCACGCCTTCTAGGAAACCAAACCATCACTCATGTCAAGAAACCTGACCTGGGAGCTCCTACCAGCTGGCATCTCGCAGGGCCCTCAGCTGTGGAAAGCCGATCCGCTCAATTTAGGCATGTGAATGTTTCTTTTGACCCTGTTTGTACTGCGGAGGTCCCGCTGCATTAAGCGCTGCTGTTGTTCCCTATTCCTGTTGATGAACAAAGCGTAGCTGAGGCTCCTTTCCTAGTTTCCTAGAGGCATGTCTGTTTTCTCTCCTGTTGTAGGTCTTAGGATGGCAAAGATGGAGATTTGCAACACATGTGTGAAGAGCTCCCTTCTGAGCTGGTGCTCTCCTAACTTGTTGAGACAAACAGCCTGTCGCAGAGGGAATGGGGAAGCCATGGGGAGGGCTTAGAGATACAGCTACCTGTGTTTGTATCTTCAGTATTACTAGGGAAGTGAAATCCTGTTCTCATCCACGCAATCTACTCATATGATTTTAATATGCAAGAGGTCAAGAAAAAAGATGTGAGCAATCACTGCAACTGAGAGACATGAGGTGTGTTCCTGACTTATGCAAGTCACTTCTTTGTGCCTTAGTATCTGTAAAAGCTCCTAAGTGAAAGGTGGTGTGTTAATGCCAGAAAGCCAGGGCACTGGCCGTGTCTCCAGTGCACGAGGAGGTGAGCACAGAAGGAAGACGGGTGGCTGGGAAGGGTGTGGGAAGCAACAGCAGCTCCTTGCTCATGTCAGAAGGACTTTTCTGTAGCAGTGGGGTGAATCCTCATGGCCATCTGCAGGTTCTGCTGCTGAGGGGAAGGGAGACCCAGCTGCTGGTACCCTCCTGCATGTTGGAGTACCAGCCTGGAGATTTAGTAGTTTGTGTTTGCCCAGAAAGGATGAAGGAGACTTGAATTAATGTGCATTGCTGCAGGTTTGCAGTTAGGAGGTGAGCTTGTTGACTTAGGTTGCTTACCTATCCCTGTTTGATAACGCTGTTCTCTGTGAGAACCTGATTTGCTGTTCCCAGGCTTCAAAGCACAGCTGGTTGGTGCGTCGATGCCGACTGGACCACTGCAGTGTTTATGCTGCTGATAATATAAGCTCCTGGGTGTAATATTACATTGCCACTGTGGGCTGGTGAGGATGCTGGCCTGCCCTTCTCCCTTAAAAATGGAGTTTTTGATTGTAGACTAACATAGGGGTTTTTCTGCACACAGGCTGGTTTATGACTGTGTGCTGGCAGGCAGTGCAACCATCCCAGCATCATGAGGTGCTCCGTCGGAAGTTGGAGCCTGCTGTTGTCCTATTCCCATGGGAGGTACAGAGGGGGCATTAGAAAATTGGTGCTTATACACAGGAGGCCCTCTACTTTAAAGGACCCTGTGGGTGTCTTGTTTGGACCAAAATGAGCTGTGAGTGATGTGTTGTGGCCGCATACCTCTGAAGAACAGTACTGAAGTCAGGCATTGATTTTTCATGGTAATGCATAGGAAAATAACTGTGTAGGTTGTTGGTGCCTGCTTATAGCATAAATAGTGGACCTTGTAGTGGAGGGTGCCCTGGCGTCCTTGAATCAGCCTTTACTCTCTGTCTCCTGGTACTTCTTTCCTCTCCTGGCCTTGCTAAACATATTTCTAGGGTAATATATTGTATTTCACCACTCTCACTGGTGTTTGCACTGTTGGTTTCTCAGGTCTGTCAGGAGCGACTTCAGGTCAGAAGACTGCTAATAGAGAAGGTGTCAGGCCATGCGTGCTTTAGCTCCAGGTTCCTCTACATCTAATAACACTATTTGTCAAGGTTTTAAGGATTTTATCCTGTGACCTGTTCCTCAAACATTCAGTTAAAGCTCCAAGTGGAGAATCATTTGCACATTGTAGATCATGGATTTACCTCCTTCTGCACCACTCTCACATTTGTTCATGCTTCCAGTATGAGACTTTTTTTTTCCTTTTTCAAAGCTCGTAGCAGCTCCATCCAGGACTGGGTTTACTTCTTGATGTCACAGCCTTGGGAGGTCAGTGCTTACTAAAATAGCTGTCAGATGTCCTTTTAGACTTTTTTCAGTGGCAAAAATATGAACCGCTTCAGCATTTGTGCAGTCAGGGCTTTTGCCAAATTCCGGCTGTCCTGTGTGAAGCAGAGAGCATGGCATGGATTGTTGGACTTGGGGCTGAGAGACCAGAGATCTGTTCTTAGCTCTGCTATTAAATTGTTCTGTGACTGGGGGCAAATCTTTTCCTGTTGCAGCTGGTGTTTTCTTCTCTGTAAATGAGGCCAAAAAACATATTTTCAGCTTTTGTAAAACACTTTGAGATTCATGGATAAAAAGTGCTGGATAAGTGCTAAGTATTTTCTTATTATGTTTGCAGACAAACTGATCATTCTGGATACTAATTGCCTTGGAGTAGCATAGCAGATCCTCTGGTTTTGGCTGCTGCATTTTATATCTACAACAGAGTTAATTTTATTACAGAAATGTGTTGAAAGAAGTCTTTCATGCTTGAAATTTTGATTCTCTTATTTAAGAAACAAAAAGTGTGTGTGGTGGGGGAGGGTGGGAGGAAAGGGGAGATATTTTCTACCTAATATTTTTCCTAGGTTAAGATGAAGATTTGCTAGTAACACAAGACAAAAATGGAATAAACAGAATTTGCTTTAAGAGCCTGATTTATTGTCTTTGTCTTCCAAAAATGAAAATGGTACAGATGGGAATCCCTTTGCTAAGAAGAGATGGCAGGGGTGTGCCTTGGACTACGGAGGCATATCACATGTGAGTTTGCTGCCTCTTCCTGGCACTTGGAGTACCAGTTTGCTCAAGGATCTTCCTGCCTGAGGCATTTCTGTAGTTACCATAGATTTCTTTTGTCTACATAAGCTAATGCTGGGGAATGAATACTTGGCCTTCAGTTATGTTTTCCGCTTTACAAAGGGGAAACGTAATACTTCCCCTATCGTTACTAGCCCAACTTGTATTCAGAGACTCTTCCTTTATTCCATTTATAAAGTTTGTCTAACCCTGTGGCCATTTTCTGCTGATGCTCCGTGATCAGCAGATGAAAGCTGAACAACACACCTTGCTCAGCAGAAGAGCCATCACCTACCCACTGCTTTCAGGTTGGTGTAAGGCACTCTGATATTCTGCTGTGTGCTGCTCCCAGCCACGATCCAGCTTTGCAGAATATTGTGGGTGAGAACACGCGGACAGGACCTTCCCAAAGTCTGGGGTCCCGCTGTAATCCACTGCTGCTCTGTAACAGCCTAGCAGCATCCCTGTTTGTGTTAGCTCCTCTAAGCATCTGCATCTTGGGCATGAAACCTGCTTTCCTCTGAACGCTTCCTCCATTTTCATGTGTGCAGTTCTCTGATGCTTTCCTCTAGAGACCTTGAGCATGCCAGAAAGCTCTTGAGCCCATGGTTTTTCAGATAGGCACTAAGTGACAAGATGATGCTTGACTTGGAAACCATGTTTGACTGGCAGCAGAATTTCATCTTTTATTACTTCTTGTGCTGCCTTTGCTCTTAAAAAAAAGTAAAAGCAGGACACTTAAAATATTTCTTATATAAACTGCATTAGATAGTGATCCACAGAAATTCCATTAGAACCAAACCTATGTATCCATTAATGGTGTCCCTACTAAAGACTCTTTTCAGTTAACCTTCCAGCGCTGAGCGGCTGGCCCTGATTTAACTCCCTGATGTTCTCAGTGTACTCACAGGACCTTTCTTCTGCTCCGGTGCTGGCATCTGTTATGCTTCCCTTGGTCCTTTTTGACCCAGCTATAGAAGAATCAGATTTCTGATGCTTTACGAAGTCTCTGTCTTTCTTGTTTTCGTCCTCTGTTTTGCCACTTTTCTGCCAGCTTTTCCTGCAGGTTCTCTTGGGGCTCTTGGGGCTGTGGGCAGAGAGATGGTAAAGGCTGGATGGCAATGGGACATGTGGCCCTCCGACAGCTTTCATCCTTGTGTGGACCTTTATCAGATAGGTGCATGCTGCAGAGCAAATAGATGGTCCTGTGGGCAAGCAACGGGACAAGATTTTGTGGGTTTGTTTTTGCCTTGTTTTATGAGTTTTAGAGTCCAAGTTGCTGATGTGTCTGAATCCTTGTGCTTCCCTGTCTTGCTATACGGTTATAAAAGCTTTTCTGGCCAAATACTCTTCAGGAGGAAAGAATGGTGAAAGGTTTTTTTGTTTGTTTTTTTTTTCTCTTTTTTCCTTGCTCCAGGGCTGCGGGGGACGTGGGCTGAGCTGTGCAAAGTTGGTCATTGTAGCAGTAACAGCCTGGCACTACCTGCCCACGAGGCTAACTGCTCATCAAACAGCAGCGTCCCCTGCTAGAGCCGTTTGCTAGCTAAGGTCTGATTTGCCTTTTTTTCTCTTGGGGAAGAGCTGTACTTACTGCGTAAGGAAATGAGTTCTCAGAAAAATACCGTTGTGGGAAAAACCCTGAATTGCACATTCTTTTCCTGATGTTTTGACATAAAAATACTGCACCAGTTTTAGACTAGCAATCTGGAAACCAGTAATTTGTGGGTGACTACCGTGGTCCTGCATGCGAGGAGAAGTGAAAAGGGGCACAGTGCCCCTAGTCCCAGCCATTTAGGGCCGTGCTGGAACATCTGGGTAACATGTTGGCCCTCGCTTGGTTGACAAGGAGTGGAGGACATCATACAAGCCTACAGGCTTTGCTGCATTTGCGCAGAGGTAATTTTTTAACATGTCTCTTGTCTTTTTCCTCCCAGAAGTCAAATCCTTTCCTAGGGCACCTTCTAGCTGTTGCAGTTTGCTAGTGACTGCTGTCTGTTCTTGGTTTTGCGAGGATGCCAAGTGCACCTGAAAATTTGAGGATGGTTTTAGAGGAGCGTGGCAAGGAGATGCTTGGTGGGTGCCCAGGGCCGTTGTCAGGCCAGAGGGAGGAGGAACGCAGGGAGAGATGCC